CTTCGCGGGGCAACGCTTTTGTAAATAAATCAGCGGTCAACCTTCTTTCACTTAAGAGGTCAACCTACGCTGTGTTGAGAACAACTTTTGTTAAATCATATATATATATATATATATATATATATATATATATATATATATATATATATATGGTCACAGGGTTGATTGGCGAACCACACCACCCGGGTTCGATCCCCAGAAGATGCAAATTTGGAGAATTTTAAAGAGTTAAACGTGCTGGCATGGGAGTAGCAGAAATGATGGGTGACCCCCTGGGAAGTATATTTGGGCTTATGGGGTTGGCCTTTAGATTGGGCTTACTTTGGGCTTTCTATAGTGGGCTATCTATCTCGGGTGTTAACGGGCCCCTGGGTAGTCACGAGGTTAACGGGCCTCGGGCCCCTGCTTGTAACCGACCGTTCATTATATATATATATATATATATATATATATATATATATATATATATATATATATATATATATATATATATATATATATATTAAAGGTTTTGATCAAACAATGATGCAATGTGGGATAATATTTAGGAGAAGTTCTTTACCGTAATGAACAAGGACGCCTCTTATCGAACCCGAGACCAACTCACTTTCAAATGGGGCCACATCAAAAAAAAAATTCTGAAAGTTTATCAGAGTGTACGGAAATGCTCTAGATCCCAGAAGAGCAGGACAAACGATGTTGAGTAGCAAGCTATCATCCGATATCAAGATGATGGACACCAAGGAAAAGTCCATGTTGATTTGTGGAGAGTTTTAAGCCGTTCACCGAAATGACAACAACTCTGAAACCCCGAGGCTGAATTGTTAAAGAAAAGATCCTTCACCGAGGTTGACACGGAGGATACTATCGGCTCGTCAGAACAAAGGCCTTCTGTCAACCTAGATGACTTCGATGACAAAGAAAGAAGGCAAAATCAATTATCTCGGGTTTTGGGTCCGACTCTGTTTCCTCTCACGATGATATCAACCGGTAAATGGTTGAAAAAATCCAGTTGTTCAATCTTAGAGAAGAAGAGAGTAAGGGTCCGTTCCATAGGACTTATTTTTTCTACTTATTACTTATTCTTATTAAAATCAGATCAGATCAGATCAGACCTAATCAGATCGAATCAGATCCAATCAGATCAGATTAGACTCGATCAGATCAGATCAGACTCCATCAGATCAGATCAGATCCAATCAGATCAGATCAGACCAGATCAAATCCAATAATATCAAATCAAGAAAAAATATAAAAGATAATATTTATTTTTTCAAGGATTAAATAATTATTATTATTATTTGATTAAATCACATTACTTTATTTAAAACTACACACACCTAAATCTTAATTAATGTTATAATTTTAAATATTATTGTTTTTATATTATTATTATTATTATTATATTTCAACTACAAACCATTATTTTAAATATTTGTTTAGCGTGTAGGATAGAAATGATGCATGGAAGCAATGTTAAAGCTAAAAGTTTTATTTTTAATACTTTAAAAAGATTTATTTTAAAATACGTGTTTATAAAATAATTATACAAAACTTTGTTTTCAAAACTATAAATATTTTATACTTAAAAAGACTTACTTTTAAACTTTAAGATGGTATAATATACACAAGGGTGAATTTAGGACAAAATTGATAGAGGTGAAAGCGATATTAGTGTTTAAAATTTTATATGATCTTTAATTTGTAACATGAAATATATTATTATGTAATATGTATATATAATGTGATATTTTTGTATAATAGCATCAATATTTTCTAATATTTGTTTATTTTAATACTGATTATTTAGTTTTCACAAAAATTAAAAAAGTTGTGATATTGAAAAGATGTTTCATATTTTAAAAAAAAATTAAACATATTAATGATTAGCTGATTTTTTTATTTTACTTTTTTTTATGTATATATGAATTGTAATACTTTAAAACTATTAAATTTTGTAATAATTTTAAGTTTAATTTAAATCAAATTTAATTTCATTTACACCAGATCTAATCAGATCAGATCAGATCCAATCAGATCAGATCAGATTCAATTAGATCAGATCAGATCAGACCCAATCAGATCTGATCAGATCAAATCAGATCAGATCAGATTTAATCAGATCAGATCAGATCTAATCAGATCATATCAGACCCAATCAGATCAGGTCAGATCAGAACTTCAAAAATTCAGATCAGATTCAATCAGATCAGGCGTACGGAACAGAGCCTAAGAGAAGGGGATAGAGAAGGAGCTCGAAGAAATGGAAATCGACTTTGATATATTAGCGAGATTCAAACGTATATATTACGAGAAAAGATAAAACGAGATCAAGGTTAAATATAATATGTTTTATTTTTTAATTAATATAATTTTTTTTAATTTAATGTTCTTTTTTATTGAATGTAATTTTTTTATTTAATGAATTATTATCAATTAAATTTAATTAATTAATGAAATCTTATTAATTTCCTTTTGTAAAATGTGTATTTAAAGAATTTAAAAAAAAATAAAAGTTTTAAGCTCTAGTTTGAACCCCAAGAGTTTCAAACTCATTTAAAATGAAACTGTGAAATTAATTAAAAAGGCGTTAAAGCTAATACCTAATACAAAATGATGGTTTGATTTGTTTGAAGCACAGATTTTAAGCTTCGGACTTTAAATATATTTCCAGTGCTCTGTGAGCCTTCTAAGGCTCCGTTCCGTTCAGCTTTTTTTTTATTCGATCTGATTTTAATAAGTTCTGATCTGATCTGATCTGGATCTGATTTGATCTGATTGAATCTGCTCTGATCTGATCTGATCGGATCTGATCTAATCTGGTCTGATCTGAATAATTATAATTTGATTTAAAATTCAAATCAATAATTTTAATTTGACTTTATAATAACTTTTGAAAATTGTAATGATAATTCATATTATAATATAATCAATATTTTTTATTTAATGATTATTTTTTAATAAAATAAAATTAGTTAGTACATATATTAGAATAATCATTCATATTATAATGTAATAATATTTTTTATTTTATGATTATTTTTTTGTGGAATTAGAATATTAATTTAATATTTTAAAAATTACTTCATATATACATTAGAATAAGTATTTAATTTATATATACATTAAAAAGTAATTAAATTTAGATAATCAATATATTAAAAAGATAGTATTTTTATTAAAATATCTCATCCTTATAAAAGATCAAAACTTTAGAAACTCAAATTACAAGTAGCAATAAAAATAAATTTTAAAAGTACAATTAGATTGATATTGTCAATGTATTTTAAAACTAATTTTTCCGACGTCTAATAATTAAGGATTACTTTCTCATTTTTCTATTTAACCTGTTTCTAAAGTTTATTCTTTTTCATTTTTAAGAACAACAACAACAACAACAACAACAATAATAATAATAATAATAATAATAATATAATAATAATAATAATAATAATAATTCTTGATGGGATCTCATTTTTATAAGTTCTGATCTGATCTGATTGGATCTGATATGGTCTGGTCTGATCTGATCTGATTTTAATAAGAATAATAAAAAATAAGAAAAAATAAGTTGAACGGAAAGGGGGCCTAAGGCTTTGTTTCGTACATCGGATCTGATTAAATCTAATCTGAATTTTTGGTGTTCTGATCTGATTGGGTCTGATCTGATCTGATTGGATCTGATATGATCTGATTGGATATGATCTGATCTGATTGGATTTGATCTGATCTGATTGGGTGTGATCTGATCTGATTGGATCTGATCTGATCTGATTGGATCTAATCTGATCGATTGGATCTGATCTTATTCGGTGTGATCTGATCTGATTGAATCTGATCTGATCTGATTGGATCTGCTTTTATCAAATTAGATCTTGTGTAAATGAATTTAAAATTTGATTTAAATTAAACTTAAAATTATTACAAAATTTAATAGTTTTAAAATATTACAATTCATACATACATAAAAAGGTAAAATAATAAAATCAGCTAATCATTGATATATCTAATTTTTTTTGAAATATTAAACACCTTTTCAATATCACTAATTTTTGAATTTTTGTGAAAACTAAATAATCGGCATTAAAATAACAAAATATTAGAAACATATATGCTTTTTTTAAAAAATACATTTTATACGCATATTACATAATAATATATTTCATGTTACAAATTAAATATCATATAAAATCTTAAACACTAATATTCATTTTACCTCTATCATTTTTTTCATAAACTCACCCTTTATATATTATACCATCTTAAAGTTTAAAAGTAATTCTTTTTAAGTATAACATATTTATGGTTTTGACAACTAAGTTTTGTATAATTATTTTATAAACAAGTATTTTAAAAAAACTCTTTTTAAGTATGAAAAATATGGAGTATGACTTTTTAAGATTTAACATTACGTCCATGCATCATTCCTACAAGCTGAGTAATTATTAAAAATAATGGTTTGTGGTTGAAATGTAATAATAATAATAATAATAATATAACAATAATAATAGTAAAAATTATAATATTAATTAAAATTTAGGCATGTGTAGCTTTAAATAAAGTAATGTGATTTAATCAAATAATAGTAATTATTATTTAATCCTTGAAAAATATTTTTTTTATTTTTCCTGATTTGATATTCTTGGATTTGATGTGGTCTGATCTGATCTGATCTGATTAGGTCTGATCTGATTGAATTTGATCTGATCTGATTGAATATGATCTAATCTGATTGAATCTAATCTAATTAGGTCTGATTTGATCTGATTTTAATAAGAATAAGTAATAAGTAAAAAAATTAGTTCCAGGGAACAGACCCTAAGTTATAACGCCTTCCGTTTCTATCTAACTAACGCACTCTGGGAATTGGTAGGGATTATGAACCCATCCACGTGTAGGGATTATGAAAACCTGCAATTGCAATTGGGAATTAACCGAACCTACTCCTTCATCGGAGATAACGATCCCAATATCGTACGAACAAAATTATCATTCAAGCAATGATGTGATAACCAAGTACACACAAAAGATAAGATAAGAGCAGAGAAGAGAAGAGAAGAGAAGAAGGGCCATGGCTACATTTAGTGTTCCCCCGGTGCTGACTTCCCCTCGCGACGACGCTATGCACCTCTACAAAGCTTTCAAGGGTAATTTTCCTTTCTGCCTTTCCTTTTCTTGCTACAATTTTATCTGTTTGATCCCCTGTTTCGTTCTAATTTCCTTGCAATTTCTATCTTTCCAACCCAATTGATTCCCTATTTTTCTTTTGTTTCTTAATAATAAGCGCGGGCTGATTTGTTCAAACCATATAGAAAAACAAAAAACGCTGGCCGGGGTTTGGTCTCATAGTTACTTCTTTGTGGGAGGGAGTGAATAGGAAGCATAAAATTTCATCCATACACTTCAGTTTATTTGCCCACTTAGAAAACAAATTATGGGGAGCTGAAGAAGAAGAAGAAGTTATTTCTGAGAAGCCTTTCATTATTTCGACAGCTTTCCTTAGATTTTTGAGGTATTTTGGAAAGTGAACAACTAAATCCGAGCGGATGGAGTAAGTTTTTCGAACTAAATAAACTTCTGCAAGTGTAATTTTTTTTTGGCCACTATACAGGTTTATCACGTTGAGATGCTCAAAAGCTGTATATTTTCATTCTTGATTGCGAGCGTGTTTGAAACGTAGACTGGCCTCACCATTCTTGGGGTATAAATAACTTAATTAGTTCTATCTACATCTTGCCCAAACCCTACTCTTGAGTGGGAGATAGCGGGGCTTGTTTGGTTAGATGAGTTTCCTCACCAACTCACCGTTGGCACTTTTGAATCACAAGGTTCCAGTTTTTCTTTTCAATGCCTCCATGGATGTTCTCTTTTAATGGAAATGAATAAAGATTTTGCCCCTTGTTTGGTTGGGGCAGTTTGAGGGGGAATGGAGGAGAGATGTGATACTTGTTTTAATAATTTACTCTTACATCCTTTGGTTCTAAAGGAAGTGGAAGCGATAAAGCATAGAGAAACAGAAAAAGCCCATGATTAAACTAAAGAGAGATCCGGTCCGTCTCACTATTTTTTTTTTTCCTTTTTTGCTCGTCCAGCCCCACTTTTTTTTTTCATTTTTTTACTTTTTTTGTTCGTCTCACTATTCTTATTTTAACATCAATACCAACTACACAATTCCATTTTCATAACTTTTGTGCCACTAGCCCATGCCCCCAAAATAGTGGGATGGAGGAAGTAATTTTCATTTTTACTTGTAAATAATGAAAAATTAATAAACCAAAAATCCACTAATCTATCCTCTCCTCTAAAATCTCCCAACCAAAAATTCAAATACTAAATAGTCTTGTATAGAATTATAGTCAGCCCCTTGCAAAGCAATGATATGATCTAGTTTCTCCAGGATTTGGGTGTGATACTGCAGCAGTTATTAATATCCTTGCCCACAGAGATGCATCACAACGTGCTCTTATTCACCAAGAGTATAGAACTATGTACTCTGAAGAGCTCCACAAGCGATTGTCTTCTGAGCTTAGTGGTGACGTCAAGGTAAATGGTGAAACTTGACATCTATTTTTATTTGGCCATTCAGGGCTTGCAATTGCTTCTCTTAATACTAAGGGTATGTTTGGCTCTCAAAAAGTAAATGCTAATGAAAATTGTATTCTTATGTTTGGTTTTACTTTCAAAAATTGAAAGGAAATAGAATATAAGCACTTTTTTGAATTTTTTATTTGTAATTATGTATTTATAGGAAATATTACTGTTTTCGTTCTCTAGTGTTTCTAGATTCCAACAACATTACCCCAATGCCTAAAAGGCTCCGCCCACTATGGGGTAAGTGGGGTCGGATATATGTAGCCTGACCCCAATGTTTAAAACAAACACAGAACGATTGTTTACAGATGACACATGAAGAGCGTCGAATGTTGCATTGACTAATTGCTACTTCACTATAAAAGAAGCACAAATAAATTAAAGAGTCATTATGCTTTATTCCATCATTACCCCAAAGCCAAAAAATAGGGAATCTTTTGCTCCATCAGAGATGATGGGTACTCCCTCCGTCCTGGAATTAAAGTCCCGGTTTGACTTCACACATATTAAAGCAATGTTAAAAAGGCACTGACTTGCCCATTTTATCCTTGACATAAAGAGATAAGGGAGTGTGTAAAAAGTGATTGAAAAGATGGAAAACGTAGGAGAGAAGAACTTTAATTTTGGGTTGCCCTATTTGGAAAGTAGGACTTTAATCCAAGTGGACCCTAAATATCACTGTGAAACTTATCACTTTTATCTGTAAAAAAAGAGAGGCAATGAATGTGCAAAGCTTCGTCATTTATCTGTTTACTCCCCTATATGAGTTTTTCTATGTGCACTGTTTTTATATATTATTCGTATTTTTGTCTGTCAGAAAGCTGTTTTACTTTGGATGCATGATCCAGCAGGACGAGACGCAACCATAATAAAAGAGAGTTTGCATGAAAAAAGTGATCTCAAGACTGCTACCGAAGTGATATGCTCACGGACTCCATCACAACTACAATACCTTAAACAAATCTATCACTCAATGTTTGGTCTTTACCTTGAGCATGATATTGAAAAGTATTTTAGTGGTGATCACCAAAAGGTTTGTCATTACTCATTACTCACATTTCCCTCCATGTGAACAGTGAGTTAGGGAAGGTCTCATCCATTTAGACGTCTCAGTTTTCTATGGGTAGTACAGAGTTAGTAGATGTTTTATACTTCTTTGTATAATTTTAAAAATTGTGTTGGATACATTAATATTGGCATGTTTATGTCTTAATGATTCAATGCTGTATTTTAGAAAATAGAAACCCTCTTCCACTTAAATGTATATTTAAATGTTTGTAACGTCCTTCAACCAATTATACAGGTTCTTCATGTGAAACTAACTCAATAAAACAGATGACGATGCTGCATCATGAAATATTTTGAGTGATTTAGTTATATGAAGTTTGACAATACAAAAAAGAGATGCACATGTCTCACTTTATTATATGTTTCTGTTTTTGTCATATGCTCCCATTGATTGCTTTACACGTGTTTTATAATGTTTCATTGATGTTATTTTTTATTCTTTCATAGTTTTATTTAAATATTGGTGTAAAATATAAATTAAATTTATATATTTAAAAACTACATCAAAAGATTTACAAAACAAGAGGTGACATAGCTATATTATTTTATCAAATGATCGATAAAAAATGTAGAGAAAGAAGATTTATTTTGACCTGTGACTTGTAATGGGATAGAAGATTCTAGCAGGACGAAGGGAGTATGAATTTTCTTATCTTTATTGATGCCATTAACACTCCTATTTTTTTTATTTGTAGTTGGTGCGAGCATACGTGAGCTTCCCTCGGTATGATGGCCCAGAAATTGACACGGCTGCAGTTCAACATGATGCTAAAGCTCTCTATAAGGCTGGTGAAAAAAGGCTTGGGACTGATGAGAAGAAATTCATAGAGATATTTGCTGAAAGAAGCAGGGCGCATTTGGGCGCAGTTATTTCTGCTTATAACCACATGCATAGTAAGTCATTGAAAAAGGTTAGAAACTGACACTAACTGAAGGCTCTACTTTTTACCCTTTTAAAGCTATTAACTAATGCCATCTGTTCTTCACAGGCAGTAAAGAGTGAAACATCTGGGCTTTTCGAGTTTGGCCTCTTGACCATTTTACATTGTGCTCAGAATCCTGCCAAATACTTTGCCAAGGTGTGTCCGCGCAAATTCTGCTTTCTTCAATAAGTATTCAGAATAAGATATAATGAATGCATGCTTCAGAAACGGGAAAATGACATTTTGGTCCTCACGTTATTGTGCGAGTATTGTCCTAGTCCCTGAGTAGTCCGGGCTTTAAAATTCCTACCTTACGTTGTGACTTTATGTGGTGAAAAGCTCTAGGTGTCAGGTAGATGTCTATGCAAGGATTTGTATGGGTTAGATGAGATTTGAGTGAAATGCATTTTTGCTAAATTAAGACCCTAATGCGAACTCTATTTAGTCCTCTCCTGTCATTTGGACCTAATTTAGTCCTGGATTGATGAAAAGACCAGTCATAATTGAAGTAAAGTACTTTAGGACAGAATTGAACCTTACTAGCACACTCAACACAAAATTGAGTAACTGAGGGAATTAAAGTGACTAACGTGAAAGGTGAAACGTGATGATCTATTCAACCCAGATATATTTAGTCTGGACTAGACCACAAAAGTTCATACTAGACGGGACGAAGATTCAGATCAAATAACATGGTATTCTTTTGACTAGAAAATTAGATAAAATTAGAAGTTTAGAACAGACATTTGAGATCTCAAACCAGAAAAAGTAAGACCAAATAAAAGTAGTGTGAAGGAACCAACTCAACCAAAAGCTCAAGCTAGTGGTTGTGGCCTAAGAAAGGTTTTATACCTCAACAGTCAACACGCCCCCTCGCATGCAGATGAGATTTTTTTGCTTGTGCCTTTCACGTGAAAATTAATTTTTTAAAACTGAGTGATAGTGAGGTTCGAACTTGTGACCTCTTGGTCAACAAGGCTATAATTTCATGTCAAGGAAACAACTCAACCAAAAGCTCAAGCTTGTGGTTGTGGGCCCAGGAAAGGTTTTATACTTTAACATGTTTTATACTCTAACAAGTAGAATAAAAACTTCAGATTTGCAGTCGCATGCGCCTTATTGTCAGTCCAGAAAACCTTCACTTCAACACTTTTCAGTTAAAATTACAACCATTATCTACAGTTAAGTTACGTTAAGTTCAACCGAGTTCAATTTAATCAAGTAAACTTTAGTAAATTTCACTAGAAGAGAACATATTTTTTGAAGAATAAGAAAACAGATCCTAAATCAGATGTCAACACTTGTGAAAAGTTGAATACTGTATACTCTCATGTCTCATCTATGTCTATATATATTTCGGCAAGATTCCGTTGAAACTGTCATCTAGTGTCAACGGATGACACTCGCCTATTTCAAGCACCTCCGGTACTCAAAATAAAAAATTGATGGTTCCTACCCTTCCTAATCCACCACCTAAACCCCCCACTGCACCCCCACCCCGGCACCTAGATCTGGCAAAACAGGACCGGAACCGATAACACGAACTGAATTATTCGAAACCAAAACCAAAATGATCCAAAAAATGAAGATCAGATCTATAACCCAAAACCCAAAATGATCTTAATCAAATCGAAAACGAACTAAATAATTCATATCCGATTTAAATCCGAAACAGATTAGATCCGAAACCGATCATATCCGAACCAATTAAACCCGAAACTGATTAGATCCGAAACTGATAAAATCCGAAACTGATTAGATCTGAAACTGATAAAACCCGAAACCGATTAGATCCGAAACCGATAATATCCAAAACTGTGTTTGCCTTTCAATAAGCATATTATATTTTTAATTTTTTACTTTTATTTTACTATATGAACTAATTACATTACTTGTTCATTCCTTCCTAATTGGATTACCATCTTTATCCGAACCAAAATCTATCCAAACCGGCTCGAAATCGAACCGTATCTGAACCGGCTCGAAATCGAACCGAAACTGAAAAATGTATAGAACCGAATCAAATCCAATCCGAAATTAAACCGAACCGATTTTAACATATATTTGAAAGATATCCGAACCGAAAGAATCCAACAGGAACCGATCCGGTTGACCCGACTGCCACCTCTACCGGCACCCCCACCCTAGACCCCCCTTTTACCCCCTCCAAATGTGTGGCTATTATGCAATACATAATAGCCACACATTTGGATGGGGTAAAAGGAAGGGTCTAGGGTGGGGGTGCGGGGGTGGGGGTGGGGTGGGGGCTTAGGTAGTGGGTTAGGAGGGTAGGGACCATCAATTTTGGAAACAGAGCACCGGAGGTGTTCAAAATAGGCAAGTGTCATCCGTTAACACTAGATGACAATGTCAACGGAACCTTGCCGTATATATGGTATTCACATCTATGAGTTGCAACAGGCATTGCACAAGGCAATGAAAGGGTTGGGGACAGACGAGGCAACACTAACTAGAATCGTGGTGACGCGAGCGGAGATTGACATGCTCTACATCAAAGGAGAGTACGCCAAGAAATACAAGAAAACTCTCAACGATGCGATCCATTCAGAAACTTCTGGCCATTATCGAGCTTTTCTTCTCTCGCTTATCGGCCCCAACCATCATTAGGAAGGGAAGGATTCTTGCATCAATGACACACCCTCGCAGCCAGGTTCTTATTTATGTATAATAATAAGCATGTCGTATATCGTGCTTCCTGCATGTAGATCTTGTTATTGTCTTATCCTTGCATAATAAATGTATGTAGAAGTGAGTTTGCATAATAAATATACTCTAGTGTAGAACCGAACAGGCTTGAGTGTGTTTGGTAAATCAGAGAAGCTTGAGTGAGTTGGATCAGATGTGAGATGCATTCCAGTTCGGTACTGCTTGATTGAAAAAGGGATTTCCTTACTTAACTAATCATTAATGTGTATGTATCAAAATATTCTCGCACATATATTTATAATGGGCCTGTTTGGGAGTAGCTTTAGAGATTAGCGTTAGCGTTTTGGATAAAATTTTAACGGTGCAGATTACTTTGAAAATGCTAACACTAAAAACTGGCCGTAAATAGCCTTTTTAAAACGCTAATGCTAATCTCTAACGTTATTCCCAAACAGGCCCAATATGTCCTAATTTACCCCCTACTCTCGCGAGATTTAACTGGGTTGTTATGGCTGTATACCCTAATTTAACCCTAACTTGTTTCCCCCTCAACATCTGTCGTCGTTCTTGTTTTTTCTTCTATTTTGTCCCCTTTCATCGGCTCCCTTCTCTCTTTTTCTTCCCCTCTCTTGGCGTTGCCACCTTCACTTGCGCGCCCTTCCTAACCCCAGAGATGCCGGTTCCTCCCTTCCCATCCCTAGCCACACATTGGCATCCATCCCCCCCCCCCCCCCCCCCCCCCCCCCCCCCCCCCAAATCCCCTTAGGGATGACAATCCAAACCAAATATGACACTAACCGGTCCAAACAAATCTTAACATATCTGAATTTGAATTGAGACAGTTATTCGAATCCGATCTGCTTAAATAAAACCCAAATCCAAATTAAATCCGGTTGTGTTTGGATCATGGAATTTACCAACTCGACTCGAAACTCAACTCGATTGTACAGAATACAGACTGCAGATAAAAAAATATCTTCGAGGGAGTACAAAAAAAGGTTCATCTGACCAATGGTTTTGGTTAGCCGTGGATTGTTTGTCAAGGATTTGCATTTCTATATTTGCAATTGAGTTGTCACAACTTATGTCCAGTTTGTTTGAATTATATGTTGTAAAAACATTTGTTGAGACCTTTTATCTTAGATATTCCGAATTTTTGACGGGTGCTATTTAGATATTGGTAAAGATATTTTCATTAAGGTTGGGGAGAATTTTGAGGAAATAAATTGGAATTTCAAGTTAAAAAGGGTGAAGGTTATTTTTGAAAAGTAGGCTACTATTATTGAAATACTAGTCACTATAACTCTCCAAATATATTTGTTAGAAATAAAAAAATGGAGCGTTAGTGAGAAATGAATAAATGATGTTCCAAAAAATGAATTATATAACCCATGAACTAATAGATAATTATGACTTCTTATATACTCCCTCCGTTCAAAAAAGAATGTCGCAATTTATTATTCAAAGATTGCGAGAACTTTTGTTTATTTATGCATTTTCATTAATTTTTTAATTAAAAAATATTTTTGTCACTACTTATTTTGCAAAACTTTTGACATAGTTTTTAAATATTTAAGGTTTATTTTTTATTTCTATACCTATCTTTAAATAAAATGAATTGAAAAAACATTCAATTTTACTTCATTTTGCATAATGTTGTACTCCCTCTGTCCCCAATTTGATTACAAATTGGGAACTACGAGGTAAAATCTCTTGTCTTTTGAAGTTATTTTATATACAAATTGGTACATCAAAAAGAAATAAAAATTACATATCAAAAAATTATCTCAAAAATTCTACAAAACAAATTCTACAAAACGAGTGGTGACAAAAGTATTATTTTATCAAATACTCAATTAAAACACATAAATAAACAAAACTTATCAAAGGGAGAGAGAAAAGAAGATTGTAATCTATTTTGGGACGGAGAGAGTAATTATTTTGGGACAGGGGAAGTATGAGTTTGTAGCTTACTTACAATCCAGAAACCAACCACTTCACAATATTTTGAACTCCCTTTGTCGTAATTTAAACTGTCTGTTTTGATTTACGATATTTAGTTGAAGTTTTTTTTCAATTTAATTTATACAAAAATTGGGGCGAAATTAAAAAAATAAAATTTACATATTTAGAAAGTACATCAAAAATTCTACAAAATAAGAAGTGGTGAGCATGTTACGATATGATACAGTATTTAACTCGTATAGATACCATGCCAAAAACTATTTTGATTAAGCATGAGATTTTACATTCTACGAATCTCGATATTGAAAGTTTGGTTCGATATAGTTTGGGATGGTTCAATATTGGTTGTTGTACAAATGGAAATGCATACATACGTAGCCAAGTTACACTTTAAAGTGTAACAAAAGCTATTATTTAAAAAAAATCGGAAGCACATATAAATAAACATAAAAATAAAAATGAATAATTAATTTCAAGGAATACTTATGAAATTCACCTTATACTACACAAACTAAAGGGAAAAGATGATAACAAAATAATATTTCAAATGCTTGTCAATATTTTTTAATTCATGTACCAAAAATTAAAACTTGAATAAAAATGTACAATGTACACATAATAAAAATTGAAACAAAATTTTAAAATAAATTTATTATTTGATGAAGAAATATAAAAAATATTATTATATTTATAATACATTAGTATATATGTTTGACACAAGATTTTTGGTATGAGAAATCACCTTGTATCGTTCTCAAATACCAAACTGACCATTCGGTTTGGAAAGGTTTAGTGTTTTTGCGGTATTTTTTCAGTTCGGTTTTCTCGGGGTTTTAACGAATTTTCCAGAATGATTCGATACTTTCTCACTCTAACAATATTAAATTATCAAATGAGTAACGGAAATAGATGAAAAAAGTGAATGAAATTTGGAACTGTAAATAGTAGACAGACAGTTTAATTAGAGACTGAGGGAATAGTTATTAGAAAGAAGGGCCAAACTGGTAATAAAACATATGAGATACCCTCAAAATAAGAGTTTAAACACAAACTCCCCTAATTAGGAGTAATTAATTTAACTAATCTAATAACTTAGAGTTGAGGAGTGAAATAGAAGTAAAACATTGACCATGTACCAAAATAGAAGTTATATAATATTACAAATATGAAATTAAATACATTTTATAAATTAAAAAATCCTAAATTAGCTACAGCGCATGCCGCACATGTCATTGTCGCCACCCTTGCCACCATCGCCGCTACTGTCATCGCAGCCACTCCATCGCCACAATCTCTTGCTGCCATCACTATTAAATGCGGCTACCATCTACATTGTTGCTACCACTAACACAACCACGGTCGACACTATCGTCGTCATCGCCACCACGATCTGCCGCTCTCATGAGATTTGTTGTGGATGCCACCTCCATCACCGACATTTGTTGATGTCAATGTCATAATTTATTGCTAACGTTGGGACCAGGACTGCCATTGTTGTCATCATAGTGTCATGGTGTCACTGTCAAAAAGGAAAAAAGCTTTCAATACAATGTCAAACAAAGCCACAATGTCAAAGACGATAATACATACTGACAAACATGTCATTGCATAATGATAAAAATGTTATTGCGTAATGCCAAACATATCAATATAAAATGTCAAAAAGAAAGTGAGATTTCAAAATTGCCAACATTGTCAAGTTTCTTATCACTATCACCAAAATTTGTTGAAATTGGGAGTAAAATTCCTGACTTCTCCCGACCATCACCGAAGGCAAAGCAGCATCGTAGGGGGGACCATACGATGTGCTGATTGGGACCCACTAATCTGATTATTTCATAGGGAGTATTGTTTCTCAATCTTTCAACGCGATGATCCATCATAATGCACGAAGAATCGGCAAATTTGTCTGGCTCACAGCTGAAAGACATCAACATAAGTTACATAATTGTCTTTTTTTACATCGTCAGTAGTTGGGGGCACAATTTATTCCTTAATTAATTATTCCTATTTAAAGGAGTTTAAGTATGAATTTCTATTTTGAGAATATGACATATGTTTTACTCCTATTTAGCAGGTTTTCTTTAGTTATTGAGTCAATAAAAATGCGGCAATCTTGGAAATAAATTGTGAAAATTGTCAATGAAAATGGATAAAATGGTAATTGTTTATAAATGATAATCAAATTGCTCTTAATCAAACCTGATCTGGTCCGATTTGGACATGGATTGGTGTTGATCTAAGCTAAAATGGATTGGATATGGATATGGATTTGATTCTACAATTCAATTACTATTTGGTTCTATAAGACCACCATTCTAATCGGCTCAAGAGATTGCTCAAGAGATTTTCGTAAAATACGATCTCAAAGAGTAAACTAATGAACTTTGCAGTCTATAATGCCAAAACTTTTGGTATGTTGAGAGTTACTACTACTCCGTATTTTAGTGTAATAATGAAAATATGAAATTTCCATATGCTGAAGCCAAAACTATCCAATATAAAAATTTTAATATGCCAAAAAAAATTTGTCTCGCCAAAAAGTTGTGATATACTACCTCCGTCCAATTTTGGTTTTTTCGGTCAACTATTTTCAAGCTTTGACCTATAATTAAATAAAATATATATTATATTTTAATTAAAAAAATAATATTTTGAAAATATTTGATATAATGAATCTAATAGAACTCTTTTTGTATCAATATCTAATATCATTTTTATTTAATTTGAGGTTAAAGTTTACCAATTTTGCCCGAAAAAAGTCAAACGTGGACAAATACTCAAGAACAGAGGGAGTACTTGCCAAAAAGAGAAATATGGTATTCCAACGTATTAAAAAAATGGTATACCCAATTTTTTTTATCTACATGTGTTCATATAAGACATTGGTATTTCGTCATATACCAAAATTATTAAAATTCATGCTAATATCACACAAAAGCATTTCAGTATGATACCATATCATAAATTGTTTTAGTATGCTAAATGCAGAACAATGATATTTTTGTATTTGTCCCTACCCCTAAATGCCTAATTGTTCATGTTTTTAGTAAATGTGGCATCCAACCAGTTTGAATATTTATCTTGCATGACTACCGGAGTATTACAGAAGCTATGAAGTAGAGAAAATGTCTTCATAGTTGTTAGAATTTGGTCAGATGCAGCTTAGGGTGTACTCCAAAATTAAGGGTTTGTTTCAACCTCTTAATGGTTCAGATGTCTGAATGGTTCAGCACTTAATGGTTCAGACTGTTTGCTTCGTGAGCAAATGTCTGAATGGTTCAGACATTTGCCTCTGAATGGTTAAGTATTATACAGAGTCTGAACTGAATTGATTAGACATTTGCCTCTGAATAGTTAAGCAATATACTAGCTTTTAATAGTTCAGACCTCTTACTGGTTCAGCACTTAATGGTTCAGACCTCTTACTGGTTCAGCACTTACCTATTCAGAAGTTGTCAAACAGTCTCTAAGTCATTAAACTACCAAATACCCAATAACCAAGTTTTTCATACATGAACAAAACGCAATGATGCTTGCTATCACTTCTTACTTAGAATTACCGAGCAAGATGAGATTCTTTAACCAAGGATTCAAACTAAGAAGAATCACACCCACTCGTCGTTTAGGTAGAAGTTAAGGGAAATGACTCGAAACCAACATTTAGGCTCCGTTTGGTATACGAAATTCAATTCATAGAATTGGAATCGGAGAGTTCAATTCCAATTCTGCTGTTTGGTAACCCAAAAAAATATGCAGATTTGGAATTGGTAGTGCAAAAAATGAATTAAAATTGGAAAACTCAATTCCACACAATTCAATTCTATAGAATTCTAATTTCAATTCCATCAATTCTGTGTACCAAACAGACCCTTAGTCTTTCAAAGATGTCGGCATACCAAGTGGAACTTATTTGAATAGATCTAAAGAAACTAATATAATAACCTTATAAGTTAGCTTATGTGTTGACACTTCCAAGCAAAAAGGCATTAATAATGAATCTATTTTGTTTCGCCAAACAAAGCCTCATACTGTATAGTTCCAATTCTACCTGCTTCAAATAATAACACATACTCAACCGATTGCCCACATTTCTTATGTCCACTTGTTTTCCCCACATTCATGATTCACCTGGTTGCTTGCCTTCCAAAATGGACCATGATCTAACTTTGGTTCAAAGGGTACCACAATACAGAACCTGAAACTCGGCCGTGCGCCCGTGCCTGTTTTTTTATTTGGACTTTTTGCTGCGCATTCCCATCCGTGATTTAGCATATCTCGAGATAATGTCAAGGAAAAACAAGACCAGAAAACGCAGGAACATAAAATCATGAAGGACAACGGTCAGTGGGTTTTTTTTTTGCTTTTTCTCGCTTTTCGTTTTTGGCGGTTCAATGGACTTACGCAAATGATAGAAATCAAAGGATACTCTAGTCTCATGCCCTCTCCGGGTGAGGAGTAAAGAAGAGTCCCCTGAAGATGACTCAGAGCTTCCGTTGAGCAAGCAGTATCCTGTGTGTTTTAGCAGTGTAGCAAAACAAAAGTAAGTGCTTTAGGATAAAACTTTACTGAGTAGCAAGAAATTGTGATATTGAACTGTTGTAGTATTCTTGAAAAATACCTTAAAGTCAACAAAAGCAACAGGAGCTCCATAGGTGCTCTGCATCTTCAACTTTAAAAAACCATGGCATCTAATCAACGTGCGCAACGTAAGAAGTTTATTACAATAGTGAAGAAAAATGATTTGCCAGAACATTAAGTAGAAAAGGCGTTCCTTGGAACCTTGAAAACACTTGGTTAAGCTCTTGTTCTGAAGCATTAGGCCCTAGATTAGCCACAAAGAGTGTAGGACATGGAGCAGCATTCTGTTCAATACAAAGGGATATTATACCCTACAACTATTCACTTAATCTTTAAAAGAGAAAATGGACATTGGTTCACCAATGAAAACCTGACCTTGTATGCATTGCTCTCATTCACAGATCTTCCATCATAATTAGTATAACTGAACATGAGCAATTAAAAATTAGAATGACCAAATATAGTTTGCAGTAAGATATCCCAAAATTCTAAGGGCACACAGTAACTTCTAATACTAGGCCCTTAACCTTTCAGCTAGATGTGAATAAAAAAACTAAACCACATTATCCGGTGAGAAGCAAATCACTTCCAGGTAAGAAAGGATTGTGCTTAAGTAGTGCAGATGACCTTTGTGTGGGTGGATAACCAACTGTGTTGTAAGCAGAACTACCCATTCCAGGAATGTGAATGTTGCCAACACCTGCTAGTGCCCAAGCGTGCAAAAGATGTGCAATGTGAGCCCTTCAGGAAATGTGTTCAGCAGTGACTAACTATCTATTATTTCCTAGCATGAGACCGAATCAGTTCCTTACAACTTAAAACAGAAGCATCACATTACCAAAATACTGAAATAGTGTGATTTAACAGCATACATATCCACCTTTTGCATGCATGCAGATTTTTGGATATTTATATTCATTATCATTGAACAGGCAGTAAAAAAGGCAGGGTTGATATAGTACCAGATTCAATGACCCTTGAAACGGCTGCAGACCCTTTCTTACTTTTCTCCGATCCATGCCTATCATCATCTGCTATTGAGAATTAACCCTTTCAGGTGATTTTTTATTTATTTAGAATACACACCCTCCATTCTTATTAATGTCTAGAATGACCACTTTTTTGTTTCTTTATATATGTCCATTCATGAAATCTATGTAAAATAACAAAATTTGCCCAATCTACCCTTATTATAAAATGTAATTTACTCTTTTACTAAGAGTGATGGTAATGAGAGTCGTTAATGAGGGTCTTTAACACAGTACTAAAAGACTTGATTAATTAATCATCTCATCCCAATGCACCTTAAACTTGTTGAATTGGTCTGAATTAAATATCATCAAACTGCAAACACACCTGTTCTTTGGCGTTTTGACCTAGAATTGGATTTTGCAAGATCGATAAACAAAGTGGAGCCTTTCTCAAGGTCAAATACCAGTCCCTGCAATCAACATGTAAGAAATCTCTTGCTTATCCCAAAAACACATATCCAACAATGACTTGAAAGTCAACTCTAGCCAATGAGGGCTCATGTGCTCCATCAGCTAAATGACTTCATAAATATACATATATGCAGATTAGAAAAAAGAAAACAAACTTACATTCAGTTCATACATTGCAGCAAGTGCAGACGGCTGATCGACAAAGACTGCAAATGCAAATGGCTGGCGCATAGAAAGCCATGTGAGAATTCAAATCCATATTGCAACAACACAAGACATTACTCTAGAAAAAATTCAAAACAGTATATTATCTGGTACCTATAGATCAATGCATAAAGTCTATTTTCTTCAAAAATTTCAAACAATACCATATGTTTATAAATAGACTGATTTTAAACTATTTGTCACATTACCAGTGGCTCCTTCCCCCCAAGTTTTTATTCAATTTCAAGCATAGTCCTCGCATTATAATAACATTAAGCTTGCTTGCAAGTTGCAACAACAATAAAGAATCTGTACTAGTTTAACTTATCGATCAAGGACTATAAAAAATTATAAATCATAGTTTCGCTACGAATCTAACTGGAAAAAGCAAAAAATATACTAATCCTTGCTGTGATCGGTGACACTCCCCTCTTGGGGATATAAATGTTATCAACTCGCAATGATTTGATGCATTCTAAAATAACGATCAGATCTATGAGCTGTTAAGATACCTGCGTATTCGATGAAGGGCTACGGAGATGGGAAGACTCGTATCCCGGGAACTCGTGGAAAAGATTGTAAATCTCTCGCGGCTTGACGTCTTCGGGAAGGCCGGCGATGAATAGTGTTCGGACATCGTCGTTGGACGGCGGAGGAGCGTAGAGCGGAGCGGCATAGGTGGCTACCGTCGATTGATAAGGGTGGTGTTGTTGGTGATGAGACAACTGAAGAATTGGTGGCGGCGGCTGATGCGCCGTCCCAGGCGGTGGCGGAGGAGGCTGCTGGTAATACGAGTATTGGGCGAGAGGGGTATAGTATGCCCGGGTGTCGTCCATGGTTGCCAACGCTGGGTAATTGATTGGTGATTTTCTGAGTGTCCCGTTTTAAAGCATACATCTTGTGGGCCTTTATCTCAATCGATTTTCTAATTGTCAGGGGATTTTCATATTTAGTCCTCTATTATAAAATATTACCCACGTAGTCCTTCTTTTAAGGTACCTTTCCACAAATAGTCCTTTTTTTATCTTCTGCCGTGTTGGTGTTAATTTAAATGCTAAAAGTATAATTTGACGTCAACATTATGCCTAGTGACGTGTTCTGATATTGGTTAAGCGAATAACACAAAAATAATGATTATGATTGTGGGCTAGGATTCTGACGAAAGATCACATTTGTAGACTATAGTTGTCGAAAAAGCGACTGTAATTCACAAACGACGCAAACGGAACAGCCTTTGGAATTGTGTATGACAAAAAAGATATATTATCATTGTGAAATTACACTTTTAACCCTGAAATTAACACCAACATGATAGAAGATCAAAAAAGGGACTATTTGTGGAAAGGTACCCATAAAAGAAGGACCACTTGGGTAATATTTGATAATAGAGGACTAAATAGGGAAACCCCATTGTTATAAAGGACCAATTATAGAATTTACTCTTTTTTTATTTTAAAATGTGTATTTCAATTGAAAATAATCCTATATCTTAGCAGTAGAAAAATTGTCCCGCCTAAAATTTTAGGCCGGTTACTGTAGCATTGAGCCGATCTTTTTCTAGGTAAATCAACATTATGGGCCTGCGTAATTTTTTTTGTAATATGCTTAATATTTCAAGTTAAAAAAATTTAATAGTATTCAGTTTCAAACATTAAAAACAATATAGTAAACAGTCACATCTCAAACATCAGAACATTTTTTATGCTTTTAAAACTAATATTATTAAAATCCATTATATTAAAATTAAATCCATTAAATTTAAGCAAATTAACATAAAACCATAATATTTAAAGAGCTTTTCTTAATTATTACAAAAACTAAGTAAATGATATTCAAAAAACATTTTAAAAAGGTTTTAGTAATCATATTCTATCAGTTTTCATAAATAAAGAAAAAAAAGATAAAAGAACACCCCACTCCATCCTGCCAAAAAAATAGGAAACTCAACTTATATTTTTTATACAACATAAACAATAACAAATAAAAACAATTAAAAAAATGTCTGTACGTGTGGTTTCACAACCCTCCACTTCCCCAAAAATTTGGACAGCAACCTCCCACCACTACACCACCTATCCACCACACTTACTACTAAAAAGTTGGCCAATTCGGTATAGAAATCACCATAAATAGGACTAAAACATAGAGAAAAGTACCAAAATAGCACTTTCATCTTTTTTTCGAAATAAGACTTTGCACTGTGGTAATGTGGCAGTGTACATGTGCACATTACTATGCTTTTTTGGTAATGTATATGACCATGTTTGGTATTGTAAGTCTTATTTCGAGAATAAAAACATGAAAGTCTTATTTTAGTATAATTTCAATGTTTTAATCATACTTTGATCTTTTTCCCAATTCGGTATGGTTCCTCATAACTTAATCACAACCAATTCCAACCCTGCAAAAGAAGAAAACAAAATGTTAGATGCATCAAGTGGAAGGGGTGGCCTGTGGTCAAATTTAAAAGATTTGGACAACAGCAAACAAGATTGGGCGATTTGCGTGAGAGCTGTTAGAGTTTACGACCATTCTACTCGTTCTTGAAAAGAAAACACCATGGAAATCATTTTCCATGATTCGGAGGTATTTGTATGCTACACATATTCACTGAATTTTGTATAGAGTTATGTTTAAAAGTTTAACCATGTTCATTTCTGATATACAAAGAATCATGATTCATGCCCAATTTAATAAAACACAACTGGATTATTTCAAACCAAAAATAAAAGAGGGAAAAACTTGTGCACTCAAAAATTTTATACTCCGTAGCTAACAAGAACAACCAGCCCTTCAAAAATTTATCAAAATACTTCTTATGGAATATATAGAGAAGGTCAGGACGTAAAAGTTTGTAGAAATTGCACGCCGCCATCGAGACCCATTTTCCTGGCATCTTCTTCGTCGGGTCGTCGATGGTTTCCGTTTAATCTGCGTTTTCCTTTATGATCCATTTAAAGAAGCGTTCTAGACTCTGAAGAAGTAGGATGAACGTGGTAATTTATTAAAATCATTCGCCGCCAAAGAAACCATTTTTCCATCATTTTTCTTAAATCGAGTTGTTCGGAAGTTTGTTTCAAACCTCATTTTTTTTATTTGTAAATCCTTAAAATGACATCATAGAATCCTTTTGGGAAACATTTTAGATAATTTTGACGTAACGCATGTTTAGAATAAAAGTCGGCGGCATTCCTGAATATTGGAGACGGAAAGTAAGTCAATTGAATATATAACAAATATAGCATATATTAACGTATAATATTAAGTAACGATTGTTATACGGGCGGAGGTACTCACCTTTGTTTGACGAAATCTAAGCAGGGGGGCTTCGGCGAACCTTGAGTAACTCCGACGTTTTTTTCATTGAGACCTCGATGTCTCTTTTTTTTTTTGTAAATTTTAGGAGAGAAAAGAGGAGAGTATGTCCCCTATTTATAGTGGTTCACTCATAGCTTGTTTGGTAATTAAATTGATATAGCTAAAGATGAAACTAAGTGTATAGCTTTACTTTATCCCTTCACCAAGTCGATTAGTGTCCCTTGGGGATCATCCTTATCCATGTTGCAGGGCCAAGTTGGTCACGCCTATTAGATTATGATAAATGTTATCCTATTATATTTACTTCATAATTGTAATCTTATTTATTTCTATATTTTATTATTATTATTATTATTATTATTATTATGATTATTATTATTATTATGATTATTATTATGATGATGATTATTATTATTATTATTATTTATTGTTTAGTATTTTATTTTAAAATATGTACTAGGACATAGTATCTTCATGCATTAATTGTTTATAATTATTTATAAATGACTAGGCTAATTTTTGGGGCGTTATAGTTCTCCTTACTTAAGAAATTTCGTCCTCGAAATTTTACCTTATTATGCAGTAGGAAAAAGTTGAGGGTATTGCATGCACATCGATTCTTCTGTTTCCTAGGTAGCTTTCTTCGATACTATGATTTTGCCAAAATACTTTGACCAATAGTACTGTCTTGTTTATGAGTATTTTAGTTTCTCATGCCAAAATTTGTACTGGTTCTTCTTCATAGGATAGTCGTTCATCCAATTCTACTGCGCCTGACTAGATCACATGAGCGGGGTCTGACCTATATCGTTTGAGCATAGATACGTGGAATACATAGATTATGTTCAACTCCGGTGGCATAGCTAACCTATATGCTACTGGTCCTACACGTTCGGTAACTTTATAGGGGCCAATAAATCTAGGTGACACTTTTCCCTTCTTCCCGAATCGTAGAACCTTTTTCCATGGTGACACTCGCAGAAATAACTTATCACCAACATTGTATTTAATATTCCTTCTTTTCAAATCTGCATAAGATCTTTGTCGGTCTGATGCGATCTGTAATCGTTCTTTGATCAATTTTACCTTTTCTTCTACACCTCTAACAAAATCAGGTCCCACAAGCTTGTTTTCACTAAGTTCCGTCTAACATAAAAGTGGTCTGCATTTTCTTTCATAAAGAGCTTCATAAGGAGTCATCTGTATGCTTGCCTGGTAAGTATTATTGTATGCAAATTCCAGAGCGGCAAGTATCTCTCCCAACTCCCTTCTAATTCTAAAACACAGCTACTCATCATATCTTCAAGTATTTGGATAATTCTTTCGGACTGTCCATCTGTCTGTGGATGAAAAGTTGTAACACTCAAATTCGTATAACCCGGAATTACACGTATTAAGGTGATATCGGAGTTAAATAAAAATTTCGCTTGGCATTTGAAAATGACAATTACTTATAAATGTTAAATTTACAACTCTGGATCGCGACCCATTTAAAAATATTTTCAGAGTAATGCAAAAGTACAATGATAGTCAAATCATGACACATTTAAAATCTTGATGATCAAACATTTGCCTGCCATCCATGCATCTCCTTTGATGAAAACATTTAAAAATATTTTCGGAGTAATGTGGAAGTACAATAATAGTCAAATCATGACACATTTAAAATCTTGATTATCAAACATTTGTCTGCCATCCTTAGCTTGCATCTCCTCTGACTCAATGCCCTCCGAAAGTGGTTCCGTCACTATCTTCTTGTTACCTACGTGTAGTCAACGAAAAATACAAACTACACGCTCAGCGAAACCGCCGAGTGGTACCACGCTAGAATTGTAGAATAATTCACAGACATATACATATACATATATATACGTCCACAAAATGTATAATAATATTAATGAGATGACACATTATATCATACGATTAAGTTGATGGTTCATGATGATAATTACTTGATGATGATTACATGATGGCACATTTAATCAATACGATTATACTTGATGATTATATGATGACACATATAATCAATATGGTTGTTCTTGTTGATGGTTACATGATGGCACATATGATCAATATGATTGTACTTGATGATGATAACATGATGCATGAAACTAACGTGCAAGGATGGCCCTTACACTATGAGATTCACCCAGTTTGTACGACGAACTCACACCACCTTAGTCTCACAAATGAGACTAGAAACAATATGAAGGTGGAACTCGAAAGCCTGAATACCATGTACGTACACTAAGCCCGAACGTGTGATGTCGGACTGCTAAGTCCCGCACAATCACGGTATAAGAGACGCACGAGGCATGATCTCTTACGAATGCATATGATGTGTTATGCTTCAATTTTAAATCAGGCTATAAGAGACGCACAAGACATGATCTCTTACGCATGCATATGATGTGATATGCTTCAATATGAATGATGAGATGAATCATATAATATGAACAATTTGCACACAATATGAGTATATAATCAAGCATGAGTTTGGTTGAAACATGATTAAAGTATCATTTAATTAA